AATGAAAAAATATTCTATTGTGTTTGATTGCTTGGATAGGTGTTCTAACCCTTCTTCAAGTGTCCTCAACTTGTTTCTATATGTTGGAATGAGTTTGTGGCCGTTTCTAGCCGTTGGGGATTAATTTTCTGTAAAATAAAAATGACTAGGACAGGGAGTATCAGTTCTCCTTTAATGAGTATCGGTACTACCTTTGTAATATTTAAATAAACTAGACGTTAAATACCGTTGGGCTTGACCAGTATCAATACTATGCTTCATGGTATCGATACCACTGTGTAAAGTAGTATTGGTACCCCTTCGAGTATCGGTACTTATTTTTCATTATGGAATTTAAGCAATTTGGAAACAGTTGGTAGTATTGATACTTCTCTTACCTTTGGTATCGGTACCACATGAACAATATCGGTATTGTTCATGCAGTATCGATACAATAAAAACAATATCGGTACTACGTACCCAGAAAAACAATTTTGTGATCAAATTATAGTTTTTTGGGTGTGGAAATTAGAGGTTGAAAAGAATAGTATTTGATATTTGATTCTTTTGAATTTCACAAAGTTAAGAGAGTACGGGTTCAAAAATCCTAGATTGAAGAAAAGAGGGGAAAACTTCTCTGGAGATGAAGGTGAGGTAAATGAGAGGCTCTTATATTCTTTTTATTGTTTTAATCAAGGTTTTGTTTTTCTTTAATTTTTATGTAAATAATTATTTAACACGTCATTTGTTACTTTTTTTATTGATTTATGTGTTTTTTTAACTGACTTTAGTTTTAAACTTAAAATATTCATAGATTGAAAACTTAGGTACTTATTTTGATAAAAAGAATAATTTAGGCACCTAAAAGAAAAATGTGATATACTTTAGGTATTTATTTGTGATATAAGCCTAAATACAATAAAAATGAGAATGATAGAGAGATAAGAGATATTTTTTAAATTGATTTTCAATATAAACCTTTCAAGAAATGACAAATTTTCTTATTTTAAAATAGAACTATAAAACATAAAATTATATACAATAATAATGGATCTAAAAATAAATTGATAAAAAAATAAAAGTACATTAAACAATAAAATTCTCTATCATAATTTTAGAACTTCACTTATTTTGCATTAATCACACCTATTTTGGAGTAAATGATAACATTTTAAAGTTAAATAAGAAATTTTATTATTCAACTTTCTTCTTACTCATCTTTTGATCACTAACATTTAAAAATTTTAAATTTAATAATTGAACTTTCAAATTATTCTTCTTTTGGCCACTCGATCATTTAACTCTCTATTTATATTTTGACTTGAATTTATTAACATTTGAGTCACATACGTGTCAACTCAAATTATTACCATCGTTCGTCATAATCAGTTACCATGTTGACATCGTCATTGATGACCGTTTGATCCAAAATTTTCATATTTCCCAATTCAGATCTCCTAAGTCCAAATTCAACCTTTATTCCACCTAAATCCATTATCTCAACTCGAGCAACTACCCCTTAACCATTTCTAACCCATCTTTCATCACCATCATTTTTCATCCTCGCCATACTCGCTCATCCAATCACTATCACACCATCCTCCCATACCCACCAACGAAAATTATAGCGAACTTCAAGCCAAACACAACTAAATGCAAGCCATCCCACCCAACTCCATCGAACACCATCTTTGTTCATCAATTCACTGTCAAGCCATCTCCACTAATGCTCAGAGGCAGAACTACTAGAGGAATAGAGGGGACCATGGCCCCCTCAATTTGTTTAGGGTAAAGTACACATTTAGTACATAAACTATCACTTTTGTTCTGTTTTAGTACATAAACTTTAATTTGTTTTAAAATCATACCTGAAATTTACTTTTTTTTATTTTAGTACCCCGCTGTTAAAAATTAAGGTACTAAAATAAAACAAAAAGTTAACAGTTATGATAGGGAAGTGGCATCGAATTGATCAACATTGCTCTCATTAAAGAATCAAACCTAGAGAGCTCAAGACTCGATGAAGAAACGAAGAGAATGAATAGGGAAGGTGGTTACAATAACTAGAGTTCTTTAGGGTTTCTTTTAAGTGATGGACTTAAGGCAAGAACAAGGTTAAAACAAGATAAACAAAAGATAAAGAACTTGAAAATAAAGTAAGATAATAAATAAAACAAAAGATCTCCCTTATGAAGGTGGATGGTAAATATGATTGACGGTGAGGATGGATTTGTAGAAAATAGATGGATAGTTATCCTACGAACCCTCCTAATCGCAATTGATTAGGCAAAATTGATAATCGACTCTAACTAGCCCTCCTAGTAATAATGAAAAAGATCTCCGTCTCAAGAACTCTTAATAATTTAAAAGAAAAAAAGCCTCAAAGAAACGAACATACTCACGTTGTATTGAAAAGAATAAAACTTGATGATTACAAAGGTGGGAGGAGCATCCTTTATATAAGAAAAAAGAGTCCTTGTCCTAACATGACTAAAGAATAAAATAACAATGAAATAAAAACTGAAGTCTATCCTAATCCAAGTGATGTGGGCTACATTAATATGGACCCTTGATGTAGTGTTTGATCTGAAGGTGGTGATGAAAACTAGGAGTTTGAATACATGACTTGTTCCTCAGCTGTTAGATGTGATGAATGGTCCAGATTAATCTTCTAGAAGGTGATGGCTTTGAGAATAAGATCGGGGCTGCTAGGTTTTTTTATTACAATAAAATTACCTTTATAACCTTGACTTAAACTATCCCTAATATGAAAATATTGAAAATTTGTAATAATTCCCTATAGAGATTTCTGCACGTGTTGTATTCAATAAAATAAGCATGTCTTGAGCTCCCGATATTGGATTGATGAGATTCAGAAACCGTTGGAAAGATAAGAAACATACGGTCAAATCTCCAGAAGACATGTTGACTGAATAAAATCAGGATCCCATTAAAAAAGCAGTCGCAAGTCTGTTACTCTGCTATTCTTTTTTTCAAAGGCTTGTTCGTGTGAATCAATTGGAAGTGCTAGTCCATCTTCCTTTGATGTGAGCCTTTTGATGCATGTATCAAGCGGGGTATTAAAATGAAACAAAAATAAATGTTAGGTATGATTTTTAAAAAAAATGAAAGTTTAGGTACTAAAACGGAACAAAAGTGATAGTTTGGGTACTAAACTTGTAGTTTACCCTTTTTTAAATTATATATATACTTGGTATAATCACTGGTATCTAATTTATTAATCGATTAATCTAAATAGGGTGTTGCACAGGTGAGAGCGACCCTCACAACTCAATTTGCTCCATTCACAAATACCAAGATTTGAACCCCTAACCTTGTTACAGGGTCTATTGCCTCATCTCATTAGACCAACTTATTGTTGGTATATATTTTATATATATTAAATTCCTAAATTGGTCCCTTAAAAATTGTATATAATAAGTTATTAAATTTAGTTATAAAAATGTATATTACCTTAAAATTTAGTTATCATTTATTAAAAAGAGTTAACATTTTTTATTATTTTATTTTTAAATGAACAAAAATATATTCTTTTTTGTTATTTCTGATTTCAAGATACAAAAAAACTTTTTTTGTTTAGTTGTTCATCTTCTTCGACTTGAGGACTTCAATCAAGTTATTAAGTATTCAACTTTTAATTTCATTTTAGTTGAAGGCATTAAAATATTTTAACTAATATATACATTTTTTAAAATGCCCCCAACAAATAATGTTGAGTTCTGCCACTACTAGGGCTTAGCATAAGCCACCAAGCATCTCATAGCCAATATGAAAATCCCTAAATCTTAATCAAACAAACCCAAACCCTCCCTATAGATATAAAAATGATAGAAAACTCATTTTAGTCCTTGTCACTTTGGTGATAGAATGGAGAACCCCAATGGTGAAAAGGTAGACACAATGAGGATAACAATGTACCTCAAAATTGTGGTGATTCGACAGTTGGATATTGAGATCAAAAGTTTGGGAGAATTTTAAGGCTTTTGTGGGGTTTCTATGAGATACTAAACCGACATACTTGTAGATGAAGTAAAGAATAGTCTAACAAAATTATTATTGGTCAAAAGTGATGTCGAATGGTGGCGATTTAACAACTTGAAGTTTCTTAATGCTAGATTCATAGAATTTGGGGGTATTTTTTTTGTTAAACTGACACAATATTGGCATTCATTAGAGCATAATGAGCTTGGTGGAAAATTTTTAAACTCTTTGGTCATTGTTGACGATAGCCTACACTGACCAGTGTGAAGACCGGAATTTGGGTAGATTGATATAAAATGAGAGAAAGAAAAAGAAGAATAAAATGGGAGAAGATGGAAAATGAAGAAAAAAGGGAAAGCTAAATTTTATATGGATCCAAAATGATGACATTTTGGTGTAAATTTGACTTTTCTAAAATGACATTTTTTTGGTATAGTGTGTTATGTCATGTTGTCATTAACTGTTTAACAACAACGTGGTCAAAACAAGAATAATTTGAAAGTTCAATGATTAAATTAAAAAAATAAACTTCAATGACTAAATATGAATAGGGATAAGTTAAGTGATAAAAATTTGTAATTTACCCAAATTTGAATGTGTTGACTTATGTTTGAAAGATGATGATTCAAGCTTTTTCTTCTACGCCACCTTAAAAGGTACGTCTAGAATGTGTGATTTGACTCGTTGGAAAGTAAATGGTAGAATGAAACAAACTTTTCTCGAAGAACATGTCATTGACTTCAATTTCAAACATTCTTTCAAAAGAATGAATTTCTATATCTACAGGTCAATACTATATCTATAGCTAGAATAATTAACACGACTCGCTCAATTGATTAATAATTTAATATTGTATAAGTATATTTTATGTTCGAGGTATTATATATGTAGAAATCTTCACTGAAAGATTCAACCACTAAAATTATATGTATGATATATATCAATTTAGATTAATCAAGATAAAATCTAAAAAATTACAAGAGCATCAAAAGAAACTTCGATAAAGTTAAGCATGTACAGTAAATCCCAACGAATCAAATTGAGTAGGTCCACAAGGACACATCCATACCACTCTCATCATCCCCCAAATTACTCCTTGGGGGAGAAAGCAAAAGCCCTTCAGCCATGCTTACGAGCAAGTTGGGCATATCGAACACTGCTTCTTCATCCACAAAGTTAACTTCACCATTACAAGCCTCCACGCTTCCCGAAACTTGCTTCAATTCCTGAGGCCCAAATGCTTTGGCTGCCTCAGCAGCCGCTCTTCGAATTTCCGTTGCATCCATTGAAGCCGGTAAAGGCAACTTCCAAGCAGAGTCAGCGAAGTTAAGGCAGGCAGCTTTTCCTCGAAATGCAAGTGCAGCTACATCATGCGCCCTTGCAGCCATTTCTGGCGTGGGATAAGAGCCGAGCCATACACGAGTCTTTTTATTAGGCTCGCGTAGCTCGCACACCCATTTATCTTTATTCCTTTTACGAACACCTCTATATACGGGATGACGAGTCTCTTTGAATATCCTCCGCCCTGCACGTTTCTTAGGCCTACTCGTTGCTAGTGAAAACACTTGCTCAGATGGTGACGGCGGCTTCTCCTCCGTCATATCAGCTGCCATAGAGTGAGACGGAGAGTCTGTTTTCTGGGTTCAGTTTAGATGTTTGTTTAATCTTTTGTGAACGATTTCTGGATTTGAGACCCAAGGAAGCAAAGGTTGTGAAGCGTTTATTTATAGGCGGAGCAGCCGGCGGCAAGACGAGGTTCGCTTCCCACACGACGCGCAAATGACAGACAGGGCAGCTTTTGTGGTCCACGGTTTCCACATAGGAAGTATTAGCTAAAAGTTCTAGACGTTGGGCTTTTGCTTTTCGGCTAAGCTTTTTCAATTTACTCTTTGCCCACGTGCTTTATTAGAAATTGAAATGTTGTGGATTAAGGAAAATTATTGCGTAAAGTACAAAAAATTCTCTAGGTTATATGATGATATTTTATTGAGTCTCTTAATTATTAAAAGTTACGGAATAGTACTCTCACTATAAGTGTTGCTTTGTCGAGTATTTGACTATTAAAAATTAGTTTATATGAAGAATGAATATATATTAATAATTAATATTTTATTATAAAATAGAATTAAATTAAATTTAAACTGATCTAATCATGTTTAAAATTTTCATTAGAAATCTTTTTTTTGTGTATTTACCTAGATTTATTAACAAATCTATTTAGATACAAACTATTGAATATATTTAACATTATTCTAGAAACTATGACACTCTTTCTCTTAGAGGTAAAATTAAAAATAATTATTAAAATGTGAGAAAATTAACAAAAATAAAACTTAAATAATTGAAAGGAGAGAATATGACTAGTTATCAAATTAAAATGAAAAGTGCAACTCCTTTTTTTTAATTACTAAAAAGAAAATGAGTATGATTAATATCCGATTATTGTCTTGATATCGCTTAAGTAAGGTTTTGAGTTCGAGTAATTTTGTACGTAGAAAATCACTGCTAGAAGACTCACACATCAAAACTAGGTGTGTGACGTAACTCGGTCCAGATTAGTCAAGCTGAAACCTTAAAACGGGGAGGGCAACCAAATATCCGACTGTTGTAACATCAATTCAATTAAGCCATATAACATTAATATAAACAACTACATAAAATTTCATTGATGTTTACATCTTTTGAATACCCATTTGACAAACAGAATTCAGCTTTCACCATTTATCTATCCATTTAATAAAAAATATGTTTGATATTGCATTATATAGGTTAAAATATGTCTAAAAATTTATATTAATCCAAAATTTAAAACTTAATTTTTATACTTAATTTTTTTCAAACTTAAGTTACTATATATCTTTAACTAACATATTGAGGTAGTGAATGAGATCATAAAACAAATAGATCATAATTAATTATGATTAAGAGTTAAATAAATAATTAAAAAATGGGTTTAAAAATATAATTAGATACCAACAACCAATTGGTCTAGTGAGATTATGCACTAGATCCCTTAAGGAAGGTCAGAGGTTCGAATCTTGACGTTTACGAATAGAGCAAATTAGGTTGGGAGGGTCGCCCTTGCCTCTGCAGTACCCAATCCAAATTAGTCGATTAACAAATAAAAAACCAATGATTATAAAAAAAAAATAGATGTGTCGGGATTTGAATTGGGCTCACCCACTCCAAACTTTACACTCAACTCTCAGGTTGGGGAACAAAAACCCTATATATTATTGCATAATAACTATTGTACATAATGTCAAAATTAACCTATAATATTAATTAAAATTGTGATTTTGTTTCATATTCTATTTTCTAGAGTATTTTGTCCCTCAATGTTTCATTTTAGAGCAAAAATGCCTCTAATATTTGAAATAATAATCACTTTATCCTTTATTTTTTAGGGAAGTTTAGCCCTCAATGTTTCATTTTAGGTTTAAAAGACTCATAATTTGGAGCATTAATCATGTGTTGACTAATGATTTTCATCTATAGAGATTTTTTACCCAAAATGAAATATTGGTGGCCAAAATACTAAAAAAAGAATAAGGCCAAAATGATTATTTTGATCAATATTAGGGATTATTTTTGGCATTATGACTAACAATTGGTTTTTTTAACTAATTAAATTTCTTTTCTCACAACATCCTTAACTTGATAATAAGAATTGTTTTTAAGGAAAAAATCATTGTCGCGTCTTCGTTCATGAATTGGGTTGTGATTCGAATTTAACCTTTTTTTTCCTTTGAAATCTAGTATGGGTCGGACTCTGATCAGTTTTTTTAAAATAATAAATAATTCCAGATATAGGAATGCCTTCACCATATGAGGTACGGTGAGTAAAATTCGATTAGTCTCTATTTGAAAAATTGATTTTTTTTAATTTAAGTTATTTAAGTCCATTCGAATTATTGAATCAGTTTTTGAGTTAGATTCACTAAAAAAACTGAAAATTTATACCATAATATTATAAATAATTACAATTAAATTTGTATAAAACTTTTGACTCGACTCAAAAATATTTCAAGTTAAGTTTAAGTCATAAAATACGACTCGTCAACTCAAATAACTCAATTTTTTAACTCGACTTGATTCAACTCGATCGAATACTCAACCCTAATATTTAATGTTATATATATATATAATTGTTCAATTTTGATAAAATTTAACTTTTGATCCAGTTTATCTTTATTTTCTTTGTTTATGAAAGTCTGCTCAGTTTGTTTTGTTTCTTTTTAACAAATATGTGTTTATTAATTTAATGTTTACTAATTATTTATATATATCAGATTATATAATTATTTCATTAATAAATAAAATTTTTATTAACTTTTAAAAATAAATAAATAATTTTTAATAATATATAGATTTATATAGTTGACACTCATGCATTCTAGAATTTTCCTTGGATGAATCTAGAGTGAATGCCACACACCCATATGCACCACTAATACATACACAATGTTCACTATTAATATAAAATAGTATAAAATTCATAAATAGACCATTATATTTTTTTTGAAGATTATTTTATTTTTCATTGAGTTTTTAAAAGTTATAAAATATACATTAAACCTTGGATTTAATAAAAAAATAAGTATCAATCGCTAAATATTGTTAAAGGGTGACGTAACATGCTAAATTAATTGAAAATATCTTATTTGTTCCCTAAATTTTATTTTTAGTATTTTCCTAAATATTTATAAGTAACAATTTTAAAACAAAAATTAGAAATTCGTATTTTTTAAAAGTATATATGAAAAATTAACTTTTTTTAATATTATGAACGGAGAGAGAGGAAGATATGAAAAATTTATTTTTAAATTTTAAAAATTATAATTTTGTGAAATTTTTTCATTCATCAAATTATTTTATAGCTAATTATTTATTTAATTATTATTGTATTTGTATAATTGAAAATATAATATAAAGTAGGGTAAAATGCATAAATAGACTATTATATTTTTTAAGATTATTTTATTTGTCATTGAGTTTTAAAAAGTTACAAAATAAACATTAAACTTTGGATTTTATTAGAAAAACAAGTATCGATAGCTAAATATTGTTAAAGGGTGATGTAACAGGCTAAATTAATAGAAAATATCTTATTTGTTCCCAAATTATAACTAAAAATTTATTTTTAGTATTTTCCTAAATATTTCTAAGTAATAATTTCAAAACAAAGTTAGAAATTCGTATTTTTAAAAAATATATAAGGATAATTAACTTTTTTTTCTAATATTATGAACGGAGAGAGAGGAAGATATGAAAAATTTAAATTTTAAAAATTATAATTTTGTGAATTTTTTTCATTCATCAAATTATTTTATAGATAATTGTTTATTTAATTATGATTGTATTTGTATAATTAAAAAATTATAATTTTGGAGATTCAAAAATTTAATTATCAAACAATAAAATTATTTTTTATTAAGTGATATGATTCAAACATTTAACTTTGTTTAAAGATAATTTAAAAAGAATACATCCAAAAATTTATAGCATCACATTAATAAGAAAAGTACATCCAAACTTAAATAAAAATAATCAAAACAATCTTTAAGTTTTAATAATGTATCAAATAATTTATATGATATAAATTCAATATTTTTAATATGAAACTAAAAATTAATATTTAAGTTATTTATATTTATTTTTTTCAATTTATCGAACCTAGTAGAAATTTAAAATTAATAGTAAATTGAAATTTTAATTACAAATGAAAGATCAAATGAGATATTTTCTATTAATTTGGCATGACATATCACCTCTTTGATGATAAATAATGTTGTGTCTATTTTATAATAAAATTTAAAATTTAACGTTTGTTATGTAACTATTGATTTTTTTGAAAAATACTTTTGAAAGTTTGGTGTATAAAAATTTCACTTTAAAATAATTTAATGTATATTTATGAATTGTAAACTACAAAATTAGTGGTGAATGTCAATTATGACATGCATTCTAGAATTTTCCTTAAAAAAATAATATAAATACAAATTAAATAACAAAAATGTTTTTTAACGTAGAGATAGACAATTTTGTCGTGCGATAACTTAATTTAAGACGGGTTTTAACCTCAAATTTTATCCTGTTCAACCTAAAAAGTTATACAAATTTATAATATTATCAGTTGCAATGAAAAGTTATATTGTAAGGATATTTAGGACTTATAATCGAAAATGTTACAAAAAAATGTAACATTTTTTATTTTAATATAAAATGTTACTTAATTTAACCTATAAAATTAGGATCTTAATAAAATTTTCAGTTATAATCATTTTTTACTATTTTTAAATCTTATATTAATAAATTGTATTTTAGAATTTTTATAAAAATATAATAGACATTTTACCAAGGGAAGAAAGTGAAGGGTAAAGAAAAGCCAGAAAAGATGGGTATGTCGGCCATCCTTTCAATGGATAAAATAAAAATTTGGGTCATAGAGCCATACCCCCACAATTCTATATATTAAATTTGAGCCCTCTTTATTAATAGGAGTGAGTCTAAATGATAAACGATTTAATATTGTTTAAATAAAATTAAGAGGTCGAGTTTTTGTGTATATAAAAAATTTATGTTGAAAAACTTACCTATTAAAATTAAGTATACAATATATGTCGTT